TCGTTGTTTTCTAAATTTAGAAAACTTCTCGGTGCTTTGTTTTTCATGGACCTTACATGATTTGCTTGTTAATGGAATTGTTGAAATTTTGGAGATTTTAAGCAATTTGTAAATCCCACATTGCTTAATTAGTTTGTATTAGGGTTGTTTATAAGAATTAACATTGCATTATCTTAGTGCCAAGTTCAGTGACGTGAGCTTGTAACCAAGTATGGGGCATTAAAATAGTTGGATGTTAGTGTGATTCTTACCATGTCTAGGTTTAGTCTTCCCCTCTAGTCTATAAAAACAACACGGGTTCAATCCCAATTAGGTTGACACGGTTGTTAAAGATCTTATTAGAGAATTTTAACAACAAACAATTACTTTTTACCACCTCTGCATTATATGTCAATCTTTAATACTGTGTCGTGTTCATCTTCCTTCCTTTATTTATTTATTTTTGGTGATTGTAAGAAAAATTAAAAAAAAAGGGCAAGAAAGTCAATATATAAAACCATAATATAAGGACAAATAATCAAATTTGAATATACAAGTTATTGCCCAAACTGATTGGAAAATATTGTTGTTATCAATTGAATGTACAAATTGCTCATAGGTTAGTGGCATTCTTTTTTAAGAGTAATTTTATGTTTGTCACATTATTATTTGTATATGTTAGGTCGTTTATCACATAGGAGGTGGTGGGAAAAAAAAAGGGTAAAATTCATTTGGGATGCGATTCACATCACACTAATTTTGAATCTAAATCATATAGTTGAATACAAAATATTTATTTTGAAATTGGACACTATTATTCCTTATATAAATTTTGTATTTCTAGGATACTTTCCATCCGATAAGGCTGAGCTAACTTTACTATGTTCTCTGTATGTAATTTCCAAATACATCTTTTGAACATACTTGCAGGATAGACTCTCAAATGATCAATTCTCAGTTATTAAAAAAAAAAAAAATTGTGAGTCGTAATTGTTCAAGTTCAATTTAAAAAACTTTACAAAATTAAAAATGTATTCAAGTTTAACTTATTTATCTTTTCAATCAAACTCAAATGTCCTTTAACTGAGCCGATTATTAGTTGATATTAAATAATTTAGCTTTTTATAATGCATATAATGTAAGTTTATTGAATAGAGATCAAAAATTAATCAGGAAAAAACTTCTTATTGCTTTGTTTAAAAGCAAGCAACTTGTTTCAACGATTAGATAAGGAACTAGTCGGTCTGGCCTCAAAGATTAGCCGGTGGTGATGGAAAACATTGTATATCAATTTCTTTTCCTAAGCAAATCACCATAATGAACCAAAATTAAACTCATTGTATAGTAATATAATATAATATCATGTGAATTTTCTATTTTCTTTTTAATATTATTGGTATTATTGAAATTTTGGAGATTTTAAACAATTTGGAAATCTCACATCACTTAATTAGTTTGTATTAAGGTTATTTATAAGAATCAACATTGCATTATTTTAGTGCCGAGCTCGGTGACTTGAGCTTGTAACCAAATATGGGGCATTAAAGTAGTTGGATGTTGGTGTGATTCCTAATATGTCTAGGTTTAGTGTTCCCCTCTACTCCATAAAAACAATACGGGTTCAATCCCAATCCACAATATTGTGAAGCAATTACTACATAAGCAGATTAAATCATATAGTTTGACACGGTTGTTGGAGATGTAGGGTGCCCTTCTCTAAGCTGCTTACTAGAGAATTTCAACAACAAACAATTACTTTTTATCACCTCAATTGAAAAAATAATTTTTGTATGTTAATTTTTAATACTGTGGCATTCTTTCTTAAAAGTAATTTGTAGTGGTCGATGAAAAGTAGGTTTTACTATTTATTTTTTTTTTGAATATTTTGGATCTTTTATGTGAATTTATATATGTTAAGAGATGGAAAAATAAATAAATAAATAATGGGTAAATTTCACTTTACTCGTGTGATTTGGGTCATATTCGGTTTATTCCTTAACGTTTGGAAATAACCACATAATCTCTTGTGCTTTGTGGACTGAAATGTACCGTCAAACACCGTTAAACATTCTGTCGTTAAACATTCTATCCAATTTAAAGTAAGTGTAAAACACGTGGCAGACATAAGGGTTTATATGTTCATTTTCAAATTTCAAGGGAGTAAATCACACATGGAATAAAATACAGGGGATTAAAATACATTTTGTTTTCCAAACAAATGACGAAAATATAGGGGTATTTTAGTCTTTTGCATTAAATCGCTAATTGGCCTAACGGTGTATTTCAATCTACAAATTATAGGAGGGTTATGTGATCATTTCTAAATATTAAGAAGGTAAACCGCATATTATCCAAACTACATGAGAGTAAAATGAAATTTGCCCAAAAATAATTGGTCACAATTATCATGGAATTGATTATCTTGGGTTTTTCTTTTATGTGAATTTATGTGAGAAGTTAAAAAAAATAAAATTAAAACGAATGATACTCAAAGTAGAATTTGGATTGAGATCACTAAATACTAGAATTTGGACCAGAATTAAAAATTAAAAAATACTTATTGTGGTTTGAATTGAGAATACTAGAATTATTATTCGAAAAAAGTTGGGAAAGTAAAAATTAAGGATTAGTGAATGTGACTTACATTATCAACTTTGAATTTAGACCATACGTCTCACATTCTAGCGATTTTAATGGATGAAAATTATGGATATATGGTTATGTTTGGTTTGTATTTGTGAAATAATTTTAAAAAATAATTTTTTGGAAAGTGTTTACAAAATTTGAAAATTTATTTGATTGTATGTTTTGAAGTTTTGGAGTTTGGGATGATTTAAATTTTTTTTTTTTTTTTTTTTTTGTAATTGAATAGATGGGTATGAGAGAAAAAGTTATTGATTGATATGTAGGATGTGAGAGAAGGCGCGATGAGTGAAAAAAAGAAAAAAAAAAAAAGAAAAGATTAATTGATGTGTCATATAGAGAAAAGCGATTTAAATTTTTTTTTTTTTCAAAAATTTTCAACTAAACAAAATTTTGAAATTTTTTCTCAAAAATTATCTCCCAAAAGACAAACCAAACAAGGGCTATTTCTAAAACAACAATGTATGGTCCATATTTAGACCTCGTTTGGAAACAGGCTTTTTTAGTAACATTTTGGCTTTTTGGCTAAAATATGATTTAAAAAAAACTAGCATGTTTGGGATGACTTTTTTACTTTTTACGAAAATATGTGCAAAAAGTAGAGAGAAAATAGAGGGCTTGTTTGGTTTGTTTTTGGGAGAGTAGTTTTTGAAAATTGTTTTGGAGAGAGAGTTTAGAAATTTTTTTAGTTTGTTTAGTTGTATATTTTGAAAGTAGTTTTGGAGTTTGAGAGTTTGAAATGATTTGAAAAAAAAAAATCAAAAAGAGATGAATATGTGGACGTTAAGATATATAATTTACATCCCACATAGTTTAAGTTAGAAAATATTAGTTCTTTTATATAATAATTTAAATGGAAAAAAAAAATCAAAAAGAGATGAATATGTGGACGTTAAGATATATAATTTACATCCCACATAGTTTAAGTTAGAAAATATTAGTTCTTTTATATAAGTTTTGTGTTTCTAGGTTGATTCCCACCCTAGTCTAGCAATAGCAAATGATTAGCTTGTGATTTAGATTCGACTCATCAAGGTTGAGCCACCCTCCATGGGCGGGCTAGTTTTTTTTGTTTTTTTTTTCAAATTATTTTTGATTTTTTGTTTTTGCTTTTTAATTTTTCTAATATACTCACAGTATAGATTCTCAAGTTAGATTTGGAAAACTTAACAAGATTCAAAATATGTTAAAATTTAACTTGTTTATCTTTTCAAGCAGATTATAAGTTGATCTCAAAAAGTTTAATTTTAACCGAACAAAGTTCAGAAAACTAATCTTAAGTTTTAAAATATATTTTAATTGAACTTATTTACATGATGGATTGATCTCAATTACAAATTTAACTAGCTAAACACGAGTTGAAATTTAGTTTAATTTATATTACAGCTCTACAAACCAACTAGACTTTGCTACGGTTTTTTTACTGTCAATATGAAGGAAGTTTTCTTTTTCTCACAAATCACTAACTCTTAAATTAAGGCTACTAGGCCATTCAAAAAAAAAAAAAATCATGGTTGCTACATATGAATCGGATTATTTGTAATAGTTTTTGGTGAAATAATTTTGCAAACCACTCATTGATTGTGTTTTGAAGTTTAAATCATCACTACAAGATTGTTACATAAAAACTTATTACAGATAAAACAAATGCTAATCTATTGTTATAGTCTGATTCCCATATATATGTATAATAGCAAAAAAAAAATATTTATTTATATTTTATATTTTCCAATTAAATATAAAACATTATGCAATTTGATCATTAAAAAGCTTCTCATCACTTAGAATTGTTAACTTGCTTCTTTTTTCGTTTAATTGGTATTGTTTTAAGTTTTGGAGATTCGAACAATTTGAAATCTCACATCGCTCAATTACTTTTTATTATAGTTGTTTATAAGAATTTATTTTTCATTTAACTAATGCCGAGCTTAGTAACGTGAGCTTGTAACAAAGTAGGGGCATTAAAATAGTCGGATGTTGATATTGCTTTCTAGCATGGTAACTAGGTTAAGTGTTCCCCTTTAATCTAATACGGTTTCAACCCCAACCCACAATGGGTTGTGAAGCAATTAAATACGCAGAGTAGATATTGGTTGACAGAGTTGTTAGAGATGGAGGGTGCCCTTGCCGTAGCTCACCTACTAGATGATTTCCAACATACAATTACTTTTTACACAATTTTTCTTTAATTCAAAATACTCAAACTCACTCGTTAGTGAGTGTTGAATTTGGGTCAGATCATACTTGGACGAGGCCTAGACCTTCAAAGATCATCCCTTCTAAGCAGCAAGGCCCACAGGCCCAACCACCAAGGAGCCAATCAAAAGCTCGGTTTGAGAAGTCCAGATCACATGGCATGTGCGAGGCACGTGAGCTGTGCAGATCAGGACGCAAAAACGTTTCTCTTCATTCTTCCCAATCCACCACTCTCTCTCACTCTCTATCTCTCTCATCTCTTGTAACCTACTCTGCATCTCTCTCTTTCTCTCTGTAGCTTCGATCGTCGTCGAGTTTGATGGCTGGTGTGCTTGAGACGCTGACTGTTCCTCGGGCCTCGGTTTTTCCGGCGGCGGCGTTGGCTCCGATGGGGAGTTATTCAGTTTATGCACTCTCAGGCAGCCGGAAATCGGTCAAATTACCGGAAATCAGAGGCCTGAAGATCTGTTATAGTTCTACGAGTCGATCGTTTAGTTCGAGCTCCAGCTCGAGTTTGAGACTCGATCGCCGTGGGGGACGAATTGTGTGCGAGGCTCAGAAGACTGCTGTTGAAGGTTTGAATCGCTCTCTCACCACTTGATTCTAAATATAATCTATGAATTTGATTTTTTCTGTGTATGAGGCTCGGTGATAGTAATAACAGGATTCAAAATTGATCTACAAGGGAAATTATACGAATATGTTAGGTTTTATCGGATGAATTTGGGTATGACTGTTCGTTTCGTGCAAATTAATGAAGCTTAGTGTCTAACATTGTTGGGAAATTAGATACCCATACTGACAAAGCTTTCATTAATGTAATTGCTTTGGGGTGACAGCACATAGGACGTCAACGTGCATAGTTGGCAGTATTAGCCTATTAGGTGATACTTGGATATACATGCGCCTCGAATGGGATCAAATTCAATCAATCTAAAGGCTGAGGCATTTTGGATTTTATTTTACACCTTTCTATTCTCTGAGCTGCTAATTTGGTATAGAAAACAATTGTTGTAATCCTGTTCTCTTGGGTAGTATTTGGTTCACTGGAATAAAACGGAATGAAATGATCATTCCATCAAAATGTTCGTTTCCATGTTTGGTTGACTAATAAAATAGTGACAAAATACATTACAAATGGAATTATTATTCACCATTTTAAGAGAATGGTCATTCCATATGAAAGCTTAAGGAATGATCATTCCATTCCATTCCTACTCATTCCAATGAACCAAATGAAGCCTTAAATGTTAAGTGATTTTGCACTTCTTTAAGTAGGGTGCACAACTAACTTGATTGACCCAAGAATTGAATTGAACCCAGTGCTCATAGGTTGGTTTGGTTCATTCTATTTAGCCCCCTATGTTTAAGAGAATTGGCTTCTTTGTTTTGGTTCTGTTTTGGGTTGACATCTTGATTTATAAAACCTAGGAACCCAATTTCTTGCGAAGGAAATGGAACAACTGCCTTCAACCAGACATCATTTGAGCTCTCGGATCTATAATTGAGTCTTATGAAGAAACAAACTTAAGTTTATTGGACGATGCATGACAAGCAATAGTTTATTTGAGATGATTGTCCCACATCGCCTATACATCTCAGTTAGACCTTCATGCTCTTCTACTAGGAAGCACGGATACGGATACGGGATACGGATACGGCGATACGACAAAATTTGAAAAACTAGGATACGGGTACGGCGGGGATACGTTCATAAAAAATATTATGTTAACAATTTTTAGTAACGCAGTATGCATAAAAATAAAACCTAAAGCAAAAGATAACTTGATAAAGAAGAAAAATTCCTATAAAACTAAGAGTCTTCAAGGTCAATAGTTTCAACTTGTTCCCCTTCATCAGTGAATATCCAGACCTTAGCTAAAGCCAAAAAACCATTCTTAAATAAAAATTTCAGCAAATATACTTTTTGAAGTCATCAATGATAGCCTAGGAAGCACGGATACGGATATGGTGATATGGGAATGTGGATATGGCGATATGTCAAAATTTGAAAAAGTATGATATACAGGTACAGTGGGGATACATTCGTAAAAAAAAGAAAATTATAATTTTAATAATGTAATATGCATGAAAATAAAACTTAAAGTACATTAATAAATAAAAAGAGGGATTCCTATTAACCTAAAAGTGCTCAAACATTCATAAAATATCCAAAACTAAAAGCAAAAGCAAAAGCAAATGCAAATTAAACATCATCCTTACATGCCAACACCAAAAAAAGAATGAGAGCAGAGAGAAGAAACGTGAGAGAGTGAGAAAGCGAGAGAGAAGTGAGAGAGACAACAAGGATACATCAATTTGGCAAATTCTATTACTTTAACTCTTACTATATTCCTCTTATCAAAGAACTAAACAAAATATTATAAGTAATATGTAATTTCGAGTATCCGATATTTCAAAATTAAGTATCCGATACTTCAAAATTAATAAAAAATTAATTAAGAAGTATCTGATACTTTTAAGAAGTATCCGATATGTATCCGATATGTATCCGCGAGTATCCAAGGAGTATCGGTATCTGATAAGTATCCGATACGGATACGTCACCCTTTTTGAAGTATCCGTGCTTCATAACTCTTCTACATAAGAGGTTTTCCTTCATGAGCTGAGATTGGGTGGACCTCTCTCGCCCAATTGAGATCAGGTAGACCCTTGTCAACTCATTTCTTAGTTCCTTTAAAAAGTGGCGTAGACCTTACATTATATGGGCTAAGCTCATACCAAACCGAACCAATAATTTTTGGTTTGGTTCAGTTTGGTTCTTTATGTGCTTGGTGTAGTTCTAGGTTAGAAAAAAGTTGGAACCAACCTTGCTTGGTAATGTAACTATATGTGATGCTATGGCTTTGCTCCCATGAAGTCTTTCTACAAATTGTTCTTCCTCAATAAAAAATAAAAGAAAACTAACTGTGTACTTTGGCTCTGATGGCAGGGGGTGAGGTTGAGTCCTTTATTAATTTCCACTATCTTGTTTGTTTATATTATTAACAGTTTCGGATCATCTAGCTAGTAGCAATTAATGCAAGTCTGAAAGGTGTTTGTTGGTCTTTTGTGTTCTGAATCCAGCAATGTCTTTTATATCAGCTACCAAACTGCCCATGGATGTTTTGACACCCTTTTCTGTACATGTCATCATTTAAAAATTTAACAAGCATTACTCTCAATGTTCCTGACTTACCACTTGCCTTGTTACATCTCATATTTGGTGTTTAGGTTCTGTCCACAGGATGTAACTATGATTAATTGTTTCATCATTCTTACAAAACAATATGTATCATCTGATTACCATTATCAACTTTGCATTGGTAAACTAACTTCTCTTTATGAAAGTGAGAAACATCACGTATGTTTCTTTAACAATTGCAGTGACTACTGTAACTGATGCAAGTTGGCAGTCACTTGTCCTTGAGTCTGATTCCGCTGTTCTAGTTGAATTCTGGGCTCCATGGTGTGGTCCGTGCCGGATGATCCACCCTATTATTGATGAATTGGCAAAGCAATACACTGGGAAGCTCAAATGCTACAAGGTGAACACTGATGAGAGTCCTTCAATTGCAACCCGATACGGGATCCGTAGCATTCCGACTGTCATAATCTTCAAGAATGGAGAGAAGAAAGATGCAGTTATTGGTGCTGTTCCCAAATCAACACTGACCTCCAGCATTGAAAAATTCTTGTAGAGGCGGTAAGATATATTAATTCTTAGTGAAGCTATCTCTTGTATGTGTTTCATCCCTCTTTAGATAATGATTCCGCAAGTTCAGACATGCTGCATCAATAAACTAAATATGCTCCTGTATAGTTACTGTATGTTGCTGCATTTTCTGTTTTCTTTGTGATAATGTTAATTATCTATATTTGTGTTTACATTTTCCAAAAGGCTCATTTTGGATTCTTGTGTCAATGCATTGAATTGCTTCTATTTTTCCATACCTTAGTAGAGGTCTAGGAGGCTGGTATTTCTCATAAAGGGAAAAAGGGTTGTTGGTTGCTTCACTTTTTTGTTAGATTTACTATTTGCCAATTGGTGAATGGCTTTAGAGTGGCCTTGAAGTAATCTGAGAGAAACATCTTTAACCAAACCAAACCAAGTCTTATATCCCATCAAATAGGGTTGGCTGTATGAATCATTCTTTTTCACTCGACTCTATCCAAGACCATTTCGTTAGGCAAATTAAGGAGATTCATATTTCTATTTATCACATTAGTCTACATCAATCTAGATCTATTCCTTTCCTGCATCTTTATTATCCATGCCCTATTTTTCTTAGTACTCAATTAGTGAGTATTTTTCTTATTCTTCTTTTTTTCTTTTGGGTATTATCAAGGTCCAACAAGAATAAAATTACTATTTATTTATTTATTGGGGGTGGGGAATATTGATCTTATCAATAGACTCCTTGGTTTTTTGCTACCTTCTTTTCTACTAGTAATGCTTGCTGCAGACAGTGCACAACTTTGAAGGAACTACTCAATTTTGGTAAGTTTAGGATTTATCGTTGTTACTACTACATTATATTTCCATGCCTGCTTTCTCTATGGTTTTCTTTTTTTGAAAGATAAAAGAAAATTCAGCTTGGTGCAGCGGGTAACAAAAGTAATCAGTGTGTTTAGTTTTAGTTTTTTAAATTCAGTTTTCTGAAAATTAAAATTTTTTGTTTTTCGTAATTTTTTATTTTTAGTGAATAATTTTTAAATTTTAAGCAATTTTTTAATCATTTTAGATGCACCTTCCTTAAATGTATTTAAATAGTAAAATATTTTTAAAAATTAACAAATACACAAAAATACGAAAAATGTATTGATTTTTTTTTTTTTTTGTATTTTTTGTTATTTAGTGTATTTCTTTAAAAAAAATTCACAAATATTATATTTTTTAAGTATATTTTTGTTAGGTGTGTCTAAAAATTAATTTAAAAAATTATTTAAAATATTAAAAAAATTCATTAAAAACATTAAAATACGAAAAATAAAAAAATAAATTTTTTGAAACTGTTTTCTAAACATCAGAACTAAAGAAAGTGATTAGTATCAGAACCCTTGGCCTTGAAGATTTGGATTTCATGTTTGGAGATTAGATGTGTAGTTGGAATGTGTTTCTTCTTTCTTGGCTGAGAAGAGGAACGGAGGAGCAAATGCAGAAAAGGAACAGAAACAAAACACCACAAGAGAACTAAAGAAGAAAATGTGAACTAGTCGGATAAACATAATTATCTCAATCCACTCAGGCTGGAAATTTCTGTTGACAGCAAATTATAGGTCAAAATCAGTCTGACGCCTAAGGGATGTGTGCGGTGTTCAGAGGGTTTGAGAGTAAAATTACAAATTGAAGGCAGGTTAGCGGATTGACAAATTACGGTTTAGACGGTTTTTGACGGATTAAAGAATATTTTAACTAATTATCATACATTTGCATAATATATAACATTAATTTGTATAATATTTTTTAGATATATAATACAGTAATTTTACATAATATGTTTCATATATATAATTATTAATTTGTAATAAATTTTATATCTTAAATCTCTCTCACATTCATTTTTATATTTTTTATTTTATTAGAAGATAAAAAAATATAGGGTAACTTACATTGACACCCAATGAGGTTTATATATAGGGTTTGGTTATGGTGTGCAACTTACACCTTACACCTTATACCTTACACTTACACCTTACACTTACACCTTTTGTAAAAAATTAAACCTTACACTTACACCTTTTTTGAGGTTGCACACCATGTGCAACCCACTTACACCTTACACCTTACCCTTACACCTTACACTTACACCTTATACTTATACTTACACCTTACACTTACACTTTTTGTGTAAGTGGCACATGGTGTGCACTTGCACACTTAAGAAAACTCCTTATATTTATTACAATTTTTTCTCTCACTTTTTGAAAATTATATCTCCCCCTGAGGTTTATAGTTTCATTACAGATTCCTTCTTCAGCAATTCAATTTTTTTAAATATCAATTTTGCCCTCACTAGGTAAATTACATGGACACCCCTCACATTTGAGAAATTATAAACCCCTCCCTAAGGTTTAAAGTAGCATTATCAATTGCCCCCTCGGTTAGTATTAGTTGGGAAAAAAATTAATTGAAAAAAAATTTTGTTAGTAAAATTTTTAAATTTCTGTTTAAAAACCTTATTTTTTGAATTTACGTTTTTTTCTCAAATTTACAAACTGAGACAACCATTTATAAACAAAAAAAAATTATCAAATAAGTTTTTATGGTAGTATTTTAAATTTTTGTAAATATAAATTGAAAATTGAAAACGAAATGGTTATCAAACAGGTTTCAGATGGTAAAAATATCGTAAAATTAACAAATAATTAAATAAGTTACCAACGTAAGAAATGACTTATCAAAAGATTCTTAGGCTATGTAGGATTTGATTTTCAGAATTTTTTTTTAAAAATTAAAAATTAACTTGGTTAAGAAATAAAAAAATTAAAAAATAATTATCATTTTTATATAATTTTTATCTATCGAGTGGTTAGAAATAATTTTTTACAAGTTAAATTGAAACCGCCATATGTATATAACTTTCTTAAAAGTTAAAATGATAATTATTTTTTACCCTTAAATGATAATTATTTTTTATTTTTTATTTCTTAACCAAATTAATTTTTAATTTAAAAAAAAATTAAAAATCAAACAATACATTGCCTAAGAATCTTTTGATAAGCTATTTCTTACATTGATAAATTATTTAATTATTTATTAATTTTACGACATTTTTACCATCTGAGACCTGTTTGGTAAACATTTCGTTTGAGTTTTCAATTTATATTTACGATAATTTTAAAAACTATCATAAAAACTTGTTTGATAATTTTTTTGATTTATAAATGGTTGTCTTAGTTTGTAAATTTTAGAAAAAAAACGTAAATTCAAAAAATGAGTTTACATTAGTTTTTAAATAAAAATTTAAAATTTTACCAACAAATTTTTTTTTCAATTAATTTTTTTTCCAATGAATTTTTTTTTCAATGAATTTTTTTTTCCAACTAATACTAGCCAAGGGGGTAATTTGTAATGCTACTTTAAACCTTAGGGAGGGGATTATAATTTCTAAAATGTGAGGGGTGTCAATGTAATTTACCTAATGAAGGCAAAATTGGTATTTAACAAAATTAAATTGCTGATGGGAAATCTGTAATGAAACTTTAAACCTCAGGGGGAGAGATGTAATTTTTAAAATGTGAGGAAGGAACTGTAATAAATATAAACCTCAGGGGGTGTCAGTGTAATTTATCCAAAAATATATGTGTATTAACTATAACGGAGCAAAACGGTCGGTTGGTGAATTATAAATTTAAACTGTGGTTAGCAGTTAGAACGGTGCGAATTGATGCGGATCGATACGATTTTAGCAAATTAAACGGTATTTTACGCAGCCTACTTACGCCACTGCTGGGGAACACCACGTTAGCTAGTTTCAATATCTTTATGGATTTGTGGATGTTAGGATAGTGTTGGCTACGCTGGCTGTTTTTTGGGAGTCCGGATCCCCTCCTTACAATCCTCTTTGCAACGGCTGAGATCAGCTGTTACAACATTTAACGGTCATAAATAAATAAATAAAGGGCATTGATTTAGACTCTCTTAGAACACCCACCCCCACAACCCCCTCACACACATGGAGGTTGGGGATTAGGTGAAAAAAAAAAAAAAATTGACCAATTAAAACTAAAAGGGGTCAAGAGAGTGGCCCCCAAAAGGGGTCTTAACCTTTATTCATAAATAAAATAAAAAAATTGAAATCAATCGTTGGATTCCGTTGCGAGAATCCCACGGAGAGGATCCCAACTCGTTTTTTTTGGAGCTTGGGTGTCTCTGGGTCGTCGTTAGGTCACTCGTTTATTTTCCTTTCTATCAATTTAGGTCACTTTGAAATCAAACACATGTATGTTTGTTCTTCTTTTTTTGATAACCATGTTCTTTGAAAGTTGAAACATAAATGACATGTTCCTGGCCCATGTGTATATTCATCAATGCCAGTCGGTGCTATGTGCCAAAATGCACATGATTGTGTTGTTTTCATGCTGATTAACTTCTTGGCCTCAGTTCAAAAAAAAAAAAACTTCTTGGCCTGTTTTGTTTTATGTTTATTACCCAGTATGTGCATATTTAAATATTCATGTCATGTTTAAATCTTGAATTTATGAAAATAATAGAAAATGAAAGAGAAGATATCAAAAAAAATGAGAAGTAGAAAAATTAATTACAAATTCATGAAAGTACAGCATTCATTTGCATAATCTAGTGCATAAATTACTTGTACTTTCATGAGTTTGTAAGTATTTTTTCAACTTCCCACTTTGTTGATATCTCCCCTTAGGAAGACGATAATAAAGCTAAGGGTCCATTTGTTTTCAGAAGTAGAATGGAGGGGATTCATAGTAAGGGGATTGTTAGTGAAAGGATTGATAATAAAGGGATTAAGTAAAATTGTGTTTGTTTTTATGATAGTTGTTAGTGTAGGAATTGTTAAATTATTTTTATATAAAATAATAAAACAAATACAAAAAATTAAACATTAATGTTCAAAAAAAAATGCCCAACATGTAAAAAATAAAAAATTTCTAGTCCAACGGGCTATTTTTCTAATACCACCTCCACCTCCACCACCACCACCTCCTCCTCCTCCACCTCATCCATCCTAATTCCCCTTCCAACCTCTATCCTAATCCCCTCCTCTGTCTCAATCTCTTCCCCAACTCTACAAATAAGTACAACATTAAATAGGTTCCACCTCCATCCTGATCCCATCTCACCCTCTACACCCCCAAAAAAATAGGGCCAAGAGAAACGGATAAGGGGTCACTGCTGTGCGTGAAGCACAGCAGTGACTGTGGTGTCTCTA